GATTATGGATCCTGTTTCAGGATTCTAAATTGTATAAAATGATTTTAAAATCAACATAAAAATCTAATATCTTTATACCTTTTGTAAGAAAATAAGATTTTATCGTGATCACATTAAAAACAGAGATGTTGGATCGTTAAGAATATTTATTTCAGCTTCCGCAAAATCGCTATCCTACAACTATATATTCTATTTTTGTCAGTGACCCTTATCTTTTTCATTTATAAAAACATACATTCTCGCTTTGAGAAAGTTTAATCCTCATAAAAATGCCAACTTTGTAATCATATTTGTTATGTGTTTCATCGTACGTATTACTTCACATTATAGTTTACATCTCGTAAACTTAAAATTTATAGTTTAGACGTATCCCTTTAGAGCCAATCATACATAATTCCAAAGTTAAGTTTGCGTACATACCTACGTAAAAGTTTCTCGCAGTTGAGTAAATTTATCGAGAGTCGTTTTCGAGAGAGGAGAACTCTCAACTCTCGGTTACCTCTTACACATTTATCATATGCTACATCGTAATGATTCACTGAATGGAATAAGAGATTTGGGAGACTGGGCAGACGAAACAAACGAAATGTATAATCCCCGTTATAAAAATATTCAGAGAATGCATAAATTCTGATCTCAACGTGCATCGTATTTGTCATCCAAATGGTATAAGTCAGTGTTTCTCAAATTTCACAGACGTAACATTTAGTCTTTTCCTATCGTAATAAACATTATTTAAGCAAGTAATTAATTAAATTCAATACAAATTTAATAGCGAGAACTACAATGAAATATCTACAGTGGTGCATTTAAAAAAAAAGTTAATGACTGATATTTTAGACAATTGCATGGACGCAAATAAAACGAATTGCGGCTGTGCGACGGCGTCCTTTGTTTCGAAATTTGGCGAGATGCAGACGCTCGAATCGATCCGACCGTGGGAAAATTAATCGACATACTACGGATTTATTCTTGCGTAACCCAATTTGAGAGGCACTGAATTAGATGACCGCGAGTAGCTGCCGCGCATAGTTTCGGGTTACCGAACGCACTCTCGCTCCAATAAGGGGAGATGCGGATCTGCGGAGTCGGGGGAGGGGGGGGAGGAGGGAGGAGGATCAAACGCGGGGGTCGCCACGCGATTCTGGTCGAACGGTGACAGCCGGGGCGTAGGAGTGTCGGGACGTGAATGGAATTGCGAGCGGATCGGCCGCATATTCCTACCGTTTACATTTATATTCCGCGCAGGTCGTGCGGCGACCGTGCGGTCGATCCGTCGTAAGCCGACCGCGGAGTGTATTTGCGAAGCTTCTTCCGCGTCTCTTCTCCTTCCCCTCCTCCTCTGTCTCGCCCGATCCCTTCGCCGTCGTTGAACGCTCCTGTGTCTTGTCGCGATTCGACAAAACCGTCTGACAAAAACCGCGGTTTGAATCGCTTTAACCCCTCCCCCCCTTCCTCCCCCCTCGAATCCATTTTTCATACTCCCGTTTCGCTGTCTCTATTGACTGACGCGATCCGGATTTCGCTAGATCAAACGGCGGCAGGGACGGGGGGCGGCAAAGAGAGGGCGAGAGGAGGAGGATATCGGTTGCCCTTTGAAACAAAATTTGCTTCCGGACAAAGTTAGAATTTTTAGTGCGAATCTATATCCCGTACATTAAAGCTGGCCTTTCGATCCTTTGATTCCCTTTGCCCGCGATAGGGTTTGTTATCAATCGCTTTCCGCGTGATAAAAGAGACTGTCAAGAAAGCAATGTGTATGCGCGCGCGTATGTACTTTTTTCGGGATACAACGAATTTGCCAGGCTGGTCAATTTATATTAGAATCTATACCCGGGCGTCTCTTTTCACCGCGGTAAATTTCAATAGCGAATTCTCTGATGGATTCGACGAATTCGCAATCGACTTTTCAATTTAACGAGAATCCCGCGCGCGGTAGATCGTTATCCGTTCGCAGCTTTCTAATTTTCAACATTAAATATATTTGCGACTTGATTGGCACGATAAAGTTAGACTGATTGAGAAACGTAATTAAATCTTAATGCCATAATGGTAGCGAGCCTATATGTATTAACAATTAGGTAAATGTCAATGTGTGGGGGGGTTCAATTAATCACCCTTGCTAGGTGGGATGCATGATCGCTCGCTATTAAAGCACGGCCGATTGTACTCGCGCGATATGCATCGAGCGTGCAGTTTCCTATAAACTGGAATATAAATGCCAAACGAGGGATGGAAACAACGCGTGCGTGTCCAATAACGGTATGCAAAACTGGTAGATTTCAGCGTAGCTTATCACGGAAACGAGTGTTGTATTTGTATCGACGATCAAACTTCGCTTATCGTTGCGTATTCGTTGCAAATTTGCGTGAAATACAGGGCGGTGGAGGTATCGATCATCGGTCGAAAGTCGGACCGATCGCCGGCGTGTCGTTCTTTAACTTATCGTGACTGTTCGTACACCACTTCTTACACTGCCATTAGTTTGAGAATGAGACCTTAATTAGGAAAGTGTCGGGGCGAAGAAAAATGCTCGCGACTACGAATTCAAAGACCATCCGCTAGCCCTTTAACTTCTCGACGGAGGTAAAGGCGCGTACGACGTGCCTTTAATTAAGCAATTTCGCAACGTCGAATGTTAATGTCTCTATCATTCAGGACGGTGAAAGAGGCGCGCGATATCACTGGACGTGCAAAACGAGCATAACAGAAGTGAGCGAAGTAAAATAAAATGCGAAAGGCAGGCGCGAACGAAGAGCCCGGGCATATTATATGAATAATTACGCGAATCGCACTATTTTTACTTGAATAACTTGACCAAGAATGCGAACTGTAGTAATCGGTAGTAAATCATGTGTATATATATGCGGAATAATTCAACATCACAATTTGAATACAACTAATTATAATGGGTCATTAAACATGGATTATATATTATCGTCGAGATATTATTCATCTTTTTTATTCGTTATTTATCGCGCAAACGCGGAGGGGAATCCCGGCTCGGGGGGGGGAAACTCATCCCTCTAGCGTGAAACACCGGATATGGTGATACGCTTTCCCACCATATAAACGTCCCTTTAATATCCCCGGGCGTTAAGGGCGTGTGTCATATTTCTCGTGCATTCCTTCCGCGAAATAAGAAAATGCCGGGAACGTGGAGGTCCAGCGCGCGCGCGCGCGCGCGCGCGCGCGTTTCCTCCGTCTCCAGTGCTCTCTCTCACTTTTTATGGGTGTGTATCACAGAGCGCGGAATGTCTTTACGAAGTTACGCGAGAGTCAGGACGCGCTCGTTGTGACATTACGAAACGCTAATCCGTTCCGAGCGCGAGCGGATTGCGAGCGCCCGGCCTAATTTACGACGTATTCCGTGGACGCGGTTACGTCTCGCGCTTTTGCCGCAAACGTTCGCATAATGCAACGCGCGACAGGCTCGCGTCTGCTTTTTGATATATCGCGTGTACGAGTAGCAGCGTTCGCAAAATAACGTGCATCCTGTGCCTAAACGCGCGCATATATATATCTCCCGCGAATACATTGAATTGCGTGATAGCGCGCTAATAACGAGATGCGCACCGATTATCTCATGCATACGATTATTCATTCCGACAATATTCGACGCGATTCCGAGCCGGCAACACAAACGGAATTAAATGAAAACGTACGGTTATTCGAACTATTACTATGACAACTCGAGTTATCAATATTTCTATGCGAAATAATCGTCGTGTTTTCGATCCTTTTTTTTTACACTGCTGCTTTATTTAGTAACGTTTTAATATACGTATATACATTTTCGTTCAAGAAAATTGCAAATTCGCGCGATCTCCATCCGCTATTTGCGAAACTACACACGCATACGACACATACGAAATGCCATGCGATAGATTCTTGAATTTTTAACGAGCGCGTTTTCATATTCGTGCGAGAGACAAGCGCGAGAATTAATGCAAATTTCATCGGACAAATAGACAACTCTAAGGGCCGCTTCACGGCCGTTTGAGCGCAGTTCTCAATCTCTTGAACGTGGGTTGCGGATAGATCTTCGGCTTGGCGAGACTTTTGAGACGCTTGGAACATCTTGCCGTTAACGCCGCCGGCGACACGGTAAAGGCATCTTCTCGGAGATCCGTTTCTCTGCCCACTGGACGTTGGACGGGCTTCGCCAGGGCGATTATTCTCTCGGAAGCTACGGAATTAAACGTTATACCACCGTACACTGTATGGTCTCAATCCCATCCATTAACATCGATTTTCCGTCGGCTTATTCTTATCAACGGGCTTAAGGGCGCGAAGGAAGAACTAACTGCGCGTTATGAAACAAACCGCGTTGTTTCACGCGGTTCTCTAAACGATGACCGTGATCTCGCTCGAATTTCATTTCACGCACAAACCACAACCGCGCGATATTTGTTTGATTAGTTGGTTGGCAGCTTTGTTACAATGGTTATGCGCGTAATGGCAATATAGATTAAATTTCTAAACAAGCAGCGTGTTTATGCCAACGTCAATTAATTCAGTCGCGATTACAAACGTTCATAAATAAATAAATTTCTAATGAGGTGGAAAGCTTAAAGAGAGGGAAAATTAGAATGTCGCGTTAGTTTACGTTGAAATTATCTCCACTGAATTTCACATATTAATATTTTGAATTTTGCATATAAAGCAATATAATATAGCGGATATTATATATCTTTTTTTTGTGCTTACGGGAGATTAGAAATCGTCTATCAAAATTGAGATAATATTAACCGCGCATGGAAAACTCTTCTCCAAACACTATTAACTACGGTTAAAAAGTTGTTTAATATTTAATATTTTAATCTTCGTCTCTCGCCTCTCGTGAGAAGTAGAATGTAATATTTTGATTTACGTCTTTTACTTCATAGGACGCCACAACGCGCGTGAGATATATTGTAAAAGTTGTGCGCGCGATCGTTCTACTATCCTACTATACCGTATCTCGTATTTTATTACAGACGGATTTCAATGGAAAAATGTTGCGCTCCGGCTGACTCGTCGCGCGCGATTATACGCGAAAATTAAAATCGTCCGGCTCTCTTCCGGGGCGGGGTTTGTACAGCGCGCTTTCCCATTATCGCCGAAAGGCTCGGCGCACTTGTACGTTTTGTATCAGGCGACGTCACGCGCGCGAAATTAAATTCCACGTCGAGCGACGAGGGACGTCGGTTATGGCCGACGATGGCTCGAAGAGAAACTTGAGGAGGCGTCTCCTTAGGCATATGTTGCAGAGAAAGTTAGATAGACGACGGGGACGGCGAGGTGACAGGTCGGGCTCTCGTGACGGCGAGAAAAAGGGAGACGGAAAAAAAGATGCCACGCGATTGCCCTCGATACACAGATTTTTTAATCGACAATCGACTCTTAAATTACTTAGACCCGTTTGTTTGCATTTTCTGCCGCGCCCCTATTGCCCCATATAACGACGGCTCAAAGGAAAATTAATCTACGGTCGCACGGCCGGCCATCGATCGATAATGGAAGAAGACGTCGTCGTAATCAGACGCGGTTGAGGAACCGTGCGGCAGGACAGGACACGATATATGTGAATGTGAAGCGAAAACTGAAATGGCTGAATTATGCGAAAAATAGATGTATAAACGTTAAATTTATTTTGTACCTTGGGATTCGAGTTTCCTTTTTCTCTCTCCCCTTCTCAGGATAAAGTACAGCTAAAAACGGAAAAAGGTCAATACAAAAAAAAAAAGAAAAAGAAAGAAAGAGAGAATAAATGACGGTAATAAAATGTAACAAATATTTAAAATAAAATAACAAAAGATAATAAAAATAAAACGAAAAAAAAAAGTTGCAAAAATCCAACAGAAATATAGCTAGCAAAATAAACTGGTAATGTAAATAGTAAGTAATAAAAAAATATAGAACACGTGTAGTACAGTACAGCAGACGCGTGTGTGGAGATTGCGGTTTATAGAGGGATGCGTAAGTAATGTTAAAAGAATCATCGAATACGGCATAGGATAGGATTGGAAAACAAATCGACGATGTCACTGCAAGCGACATTCTCATTAAATAATTACAATGCCGGCGAGAGTGCCGCTAACATTACGGTACGGAACAGCGCTGCGGGCAGGAGTCTGCAACGAGCAGTACCGTAAGCACAGCGACATTGCTAGCAGATCGGCAACAAAACACGCTTCGTGTGCCGCGGGCTTAATGTGTAGATCGTGTCCCGTTTATCTCTCCTGTGTCCATATCAAACGGTACAAAATCGTTACCTCGCCAGGTTATGGTCGAATGGAAAGATAACGCGGATTCTGCATTATATCACGAATACAGTGATATCCGGAACTAATAGCGGAATATTCGATATCGATCGGTTACAGGGCGTGTTCGACGTATCGCGGAAAATTCTATTAATTTCATAAATTCCATAAATTTTTGCCGAATCTACGCTCAAGTAACGATCCCGCAATAAAAAAAAAAAAACAAAAAACTATTTACGCTCGTTGACGTT